CCCCCTGCTTGTGTTCCCTCTCTCACTGTGTCTCTCTCTGTCAAATAAATAAATAAAATCTTTAAAAAAAAAAAAACAAAAACAAATATTAGACTATTAAACAGGTCATCAGCGGGGCACCTGGGTGGCTCAGTCGTTAAGCGTCTGCCTTCGGCTCGGGTCATGATCCCAGGGTCCTGGGATCGAGCCCTGCATCAGGCTCCCGGCTCCGAGGGAAGCCTGCTTCTCCCTCTCCCACTCCCCCTGCTTGTGTTCCCTCTCTTGCTGTGTCTCTGTCAAATAAATAAAATCTTAAAAAAAAAAAACAGGTCATCAATCACTTGCCTAAAACATCATTTTTGGGAAAACAAAATCTTACTATCACACTTGCTTGGGACTGAAAAAGATGCCTGAAATATTACTGAAAGCATGATTATTAACTGACTGGGATATAAACATCACTTTATTTTGCCTGGTGATCTGATCCTGACCCAGCCCTCGTGTCCCACTGCTGAAAAGCAGACAGGTGACGAACCTTTTTGCCTCCATGTGATTCCCTTCCTTTTTTTTTTTAGTATCTTTCTACTTAAGAGGTCTCAGATTGAAAACTTGAGATCATGCACCATCACACCCATGACTGCCACTCTTCAATCTCCTGCATAGCTGGTTCTGTTGGATATTTGTCAGCTGTGAACTGTATCCTCTCAGAAACACACGCTGACAGAATCCCAAATTATCAGCTGCTCCATTATCCCCATACACATGACTTAAATGTGACGGGAAAAAACAATGGGCTGCTGGGAGTTGAGGGCAAAGAAGGGACTGTGACATTAGGTGCAATCAGACCTTTTACCAATCATCACTGACCTCCAGGGACTCACAGGAGTGGAACAGAAAGGGGCCTTAATGGTCCCCAGTCCAACTCCTCATCCAGAGGGAGACTTTCTTTGTGACATACAAGGTGGTTAAATCACTCAGCCGGTTCACTGGGTGGAAATCTCTACTCGATTCCTCCTTATGCCTGGAACTGTAAGCCTTCCCCATATAAATTCCCTCCCATTTTTACAGTGAGTCTTTTTTTCCCCTGAAAGCTGGCTCCTCTAACTCACCCCCATGTAATCCACGAGTCAGCCCAGCTATCTGGGCTCTGCCTCTCCATCCCCCGCCCCGACCCCCACCTGCCAGCCCCGAGTCGGGTACCCCACATTTCCCCAGCCTGATTCCATTTCTGCTCAGTCCCCCCAGCTGGGACCCGCTTATTCTTTTCTATCAGCACGCAGCTCTGAACTCCAGATGACAGCCCAGCATCACAGTGGCCTCTGCCCAGGACTGTCTCCTGCTTCCAACCTTGTGCTCCTAACGAAGGGAAGTCACACAGATATGGGTATAATTCACGGAGCAAACAGCTGCCCTTACCCACCTTCTAAAACCGACTACTGACTAGAGTCTCCCTCTAGATTGGAGCCAACCAGTGACAACAGTGACATAAATTACTGTACTTCTCACCAGCCCTGGTTCCTTCCCCCTTGTCCCATCTTCTCATGCTAGCGATTCTCTCTCAGCCAGTCCTGTATTACAGAGAATGTTTGTAATAAATTCTGTCTCTAAGCAAAACGTATCAATCCCTTCCATCAGCCACAGCCAACAGGTGTAAAAGCTTGCTATTGCTCTAAATAAAATAGTAGAAAGCTAGCTGCGGTAGAGAACGGATCCTTGAACTGTCTGGCTCGGTTACGACACAAAGCTTGGTGGCAGGTGGGGTTCAACTGCACTTACGAAGACACACATCGCGGTTGTCGGCACTCTCACTTCTTTGCTAGAACCAGGATGAGGATCCACATTATCCTGGGGAACTGGAAAGGAAGAGACAGAGCGCCTCCTAAGAAGTAACATAAAGGAAAGTATTAGGATTACACAAGGCTTCCTGTCCACCAAACGCCCAGGAGGGATTCAAAGACAACTTTTGACAGTAGCTTCTTCTCCCTCCTAGACTCTTCGAACCACAGAACAGTTCACCCTACCAGAGGCATCCTCACCCAAACGATACCTGGAGAGGTATCCAGCACATAGCTGTGCTCTTTTACTAACTCATGGACTCCAGAACCCAACACTGAAAAGCAATCCCGCAAAACTGCTTCCCGGCCAATCAAACGCTGCAAAAACGTTCTCAACGTAATGTAACCGCCCGCTCCAAGGGAGCTCATTTGTATTTTGATAAGACTACTTCAAGGTCACTTCTATGCCTAGCTATGATCATTCTCAGCGTACAGTGTGGTCAAGGCAGAGTCGAACGCATGCCAGAGAAGAGAGGGAGGAGAGCGTGTCTACTGTGCAGAGCTCAACCTAACCATTGCCCGCTCAAGAGGCTGACAGCGCTCCCAGGAACATGCACGGTGGCCTGGGAGGCGCATGCACATCCAACGAAGGGACTGAAGCAGCAATCAGCACAATCATCAAGGAGCCACGCTCACATGCCGGGCTGAGAGAAGGTATTCTTTTCACCTGGCAGCATCAGGAGAGTGATGTCCCAGAAGGGGAGACTCGGACAGACTAAAGGTAAGGCCAGATCAGCACGCAGCGAGAGTAAGAGAAAGAAAACGGAGGAAAAAAGGAAGAAGCTAGGTGAAAAGCTGAAGTCAAAGCATCTGTACACTTGGCGCCACAGAAATTCTGGTGTACGTTTAAAAAATGGCGATAAATCATATACAATACTTATGAATATTCACACATATTAACAAGGAAAGGTGAAAGTTTTCTAACCTACCCAAAGATATTAGTGATAGAATCCAGAAGGCCTCCAGCAGGCTGCGAGAGTCGCTTACTAAAGAGGAGGGGAGGATAGGTTTAAACCTTAGAAACGTTTTGCCCATGATTCATCAATAAAAACAGTCCACAAAAATAGGTACCTGGGAGTATGTTTCCCATCGAGTCCCCAAACCCCAGCGAAGAAACCCCTCAGAGCAAACCATCAGAAAACAGGGGGAAGGCAAGAGGGAGGACCCAGCTTCGTTAGTTTTAAAAGACACGAGGTTCCCTCGCATTAAATTAACTGTCCTAGAAACTGTGCTTTAGACAATGACTCGTTCAATCTGACCTGACGGTGTTGGCTGTTAACAACCAATCCCCAGCCTTTCAGTCCCGCTTTGTTTAGCAAGGAGAAAAAATCCTGGAACCCAAGTACGAAGTAAACCGTATGATCTAAATACTCATCCCAACAAGGTGTAACTGTCCATCTTGTGGGCAGCCAACACCTCACAGGGTGGTGGCAGCACTAGGGGAGCTTGCTTCCCATGACGAGGTGACCTAAGGAAGGTGGGGACACTCGGGAGCCCACGCTCTCACAGCTGTGCAGCCAGGAGGGGCCGGGCGCTCCAGCGAAGGGCCTGGGTGCATCGAGCTGCTCTTGCCGCGGCCACCAACGTGCTGTCGGACTGCAGCGTGAGCGCTCCTTTCCTGGCCCGCGCCGGCTACTTACCTGGTCGCTCTGCTGATGGCTCGCACGGGAGATGTCTCCTCCGTGTGATCAGAGGTTTCATCCACAATGACTTCAATGTCATCATCCCTGGAAAGAAGGGCAAGAGGCTAAGTCTTTGATCCTGCTCGGCAGGAGCTTTGTGGCGAATCTGTTCCGCCAAGGCCAGCACCGTCTCCTAGTCACACACAGCCTACGCGACTTGGCTGTGACAGAGATGGCCAAGGGTTCTCTCGAGAAAAAGGAACAGCCGCGCTCTGAATGACACTAAAAGAAACGTTTAACCTGTTGATATCAAATCCAGAATTCCAGCTGAAAATGACTTTAAAAGTGATCTTCTGATCCTCTGCAGTATAAACATAGCTCCCACTTGGAAAGCAAGGAAAGAATGATCTCTTAAGTCTAGAACCATGCATCCAGTGCCAACGGAGATTCTTTCTTTCAGGCTGGGTTCGTGGCTAAGGGCTCCTGCACACAAACAACTGGACCACAGTGCTCGCCAAGGAACAGTTCCCACGTGACGGGCTGAGCATGGCACAGACGACAGCCGGAGCGGCTCTGGAGCACAAGGAAACGACAGGGCAAGGAGATCCAGGGGAGTAAGAAAACGGTTTGCTGGAAGGGCAATGGAGTCAATGGTTGCATTAACATCGGCTTTAAGTATTGCCTTAATAATAGAAACAGGAAAGCCAAATCTCAACACAATTCATTTTTGACTCTGGGTATTTTATGCTTAGGTTGCAACACTTGGTGCTTCTCACGTGTGGCGAGTCCATCGTGCTTCACGTGAAATAATCAAGCCACAGAAATGCCCTGTTGTTTACCCGCCTTATCCCGCCAGATACAAAGCACCTCTGGAATTCACCCCACCCCCTTTTTCCTGGTTGGGGGGAAGGCAACTAATTATTTTGGTCTTAATGACCTCCTACCGAGTTGCAACCAGAAGTAAAGTAATAAAACGTAACAACCCAAGCCTGTATCACCTAATGTTTGGACTCCTTAGAACTTGAGAGCAAGATTTATCCATGATTAACTATCCGGATTATGTAAATATAACTTGTTACCAAGCAAGTTAAACCAAAGACAATTTGTTTTCCTTGGCTAATGATTTTAGGCTTCCACGCAACTGACCCCAGTCTAGGCCAGCATGTAGGGGAGAACAAAGGCAGGCCTGAAGAAAAAAAACAAGGCTGGCCTTTCTTTTCTTCGTGGTTGCGGTTTGGGGGAGTCACTCGTGTCCACACAAGGGTGACAGCAGAGCGGCAGAGACAGCAAGAGTAGCGACCATGAGCCGAGCCTATGCAAATGCTTTCAGAACGCGACAGACATGAAGACACTTGGAACTGTGTGAAGACCCAGGGCCACAAGAAAATACCAGGATGTGGCAACTGGTTATCACAACCCTTCAAAGATAGAAATGTCCTTTGCCCCAGAAACTCCACTCTTTGGGAAGCACAGAGACGACGAACAGGCGTTTACAGTCAGGCACTCCCAGATCAGCTTCGCTTGGCCCCTTTCTATGAGCTCTTGGGCAGCATGCTTGACCTAAGTTGTGTCACACCCAGTCATCTGTTTATGCTGCAGTTGGGAAGCAGACAAATGATGCTTTTGTAAGCTGTCATTTCTAGGTCAATCATTTATTTACTTTGTAGTGTCAGGAAAATACATCTGAGATTTATTTTCCACATCTGAGGGTATAGAAGAAATGTACATATTCTAAATCTAAAGCACAGTCTTGGTATGAAAACCCTTTTTTCCTTATAAATTAATACCTTGTCTGGTGGATGACTCCTCTAACTGAATTCAACCAGTCCCCTCTGTTTGTAAGAAAACAAAAAACATTTTACAACCCAGTAAATCACAATTCTAATACTGTATTCCAGAATATTTTTTCAGTAGAAAAGGAACACACTGTGGACTAGAAGCAAAGGGAATTCAGTCATTAAAATATCCACCACTCTTAACACAAAGCTTCAGATCTTGGGGGAGATCCTCCACCGCAACTCCAGATCGGGGAAAGTTCCAAACAGATTCAATCCCTTTTGCTCCAAGAAACGGCTGTTTTCAGTTAGGCTTCAGAGGTTTGCCCACACCTCCACTCAAAGTCACACACCAAGAACGGAGAGCAAGAGAAAGAACCCCAGCCCAGCGATACACTCCAAGAGGCCCAACGAGGGGTAGAAAATGGATCAAGGTGTCAAGAGGGAAGCAGCAAGGCAGTCATTCATGCAGGATGCAGAAGTCATCCACACAGGGCGCCAAAGCCAATGAGGAGCAGAAGCTGGAGCAACCTTTGGGGAGGTAACCAGTGTGTTTAGTGGCTCCCTTACATCTTTTAGTTTCCTTTCTACAATCTATAAAACGATTTTACAGAAATAAGACCATGATAAAACCACTTTAAAAGCGCAAATCCAATTACTAAGAGCAGTTGTGATTGGAATAGCTCTACTTACTGTTCAACGGGTAGAGGTTCCTTTGCTGCTTCTGCAAGCTCTTTCTGCAGCCGGGCTTGCCGCCTCCTATTGAAGAAAGCCACTAGTTATGTCTGCTTCAACAAAGCATGGCGTTTCAGCCCTCAGTAAACTACTAGCTCTCATAACACACTTGAATAGTCAGTCAGTGCACCTAAAATAACTGCCCTGGGCAAAGATACCAAAGTCCCAAACCCACACCAGTAACGTCAGTAAGGAACCCTGTTATAAAGGATTCCAGAGCAAAGCCCAGAAGAGGGATTATGTCATTAGAGAAAGCATGAACTGGCAAGGAAGAAGCCTGCCCATCGTGACCCGGGGACTCTCAGGACAGAAAGGCGCATCAGGTTTATCCAGGGTTAGTCACCATCAAGAGCTAGCTTCCTGCAGCAAATAGTCTGACACCAACATATCAAGAGCATGAAAAGTTAACAGTTAAGATTTACTTAGAATTTACTTGTCCCTGACTTGGTATTGGTATCGTTATCTCCAGGGTTTAACTCGTTTAATCCTTGTAACAGTGCTTTGAGATTCAGCACTACTTTACAGATAAGGAAACTGAGGTATGAGATTCTTGAACTGTCAAAATGCACATGGCTTCACTTACCAGCGCTGGACACAGACGTCTCAGCTGTGGGCCATTTTTTTTTTTTTTAAGATTATTTTTTGGGGGGGAGGGGCAGAGAGAGAGGGAGTAAGAGATACCTCAAGCAGACTCCCCACTGAGCGTGGAGCCCCACATGGGGCTCAATCATGAACTGAGCCGAAAATCAAGAGTAGGTGGCTGATTAACTGACTGAGCCACCCAGGCACCCCTCGGCTGTGGACAAATTTTCATGTGGCCCAACAGTCAAGTCCACTATTTCCCCTTCTCAGAATAATTTCTGTCTCTCCCCAAGTCCTAAATTCAGGATCTCCTCCATTTTTAACCTTGGCCTCGTTTTCTCTTCCATGGCAATTTAATCTCTAACTGTGGTTTCACCCTCTATGTGGAGAACCCCTAATCCGGAACTCTAGCACTGCTATTAAGCCCCAATCAAGAATTCTGCTGGAATTTTTTTTGTAAAGCTTCTACCACAGTGTTAGTTCTCAAAACAGGGAGAAGTCCTCTAGGTGGCATATCTGAATCATGGGAAGGGATGAGGTCGCAGCTTATACTAATTTTATTTTTTATTTATTTAAAAAAAATTTTTTAAATTTATTTGACAGAAAGAGAGCACAAGCAGGGGGAGCGGCAGCAGGAGAGGGAGAAGCAGGCCTCCCGTTGAGCGGAGAGCCCGACGCGGGGCTCGATCCCAGCACCCTGGGATCATGATCCGAGCTGAAGGCAGACGCTTAACTGACTGAACCACCCAGGCGCCCCCATTTTTTTTTTTTTTAAGATTTATATATTTATTTGAAGGAGAAAGAGTGTGAGCACATGTGCACACACACAAACAAGTGGGAGGAGGGGCAGAGGGACAAGCAGACTGCCCCTGAGCATGAAGCCCGACGCAGGGCTCAATCTCACGACCCTGAGATCAGGACCTGAGCTGAAATCAAGAGTCAGACACTTAACCGACGTGTGTCACCTACGTGCTACACTCTTAATTTTATATCTGGAAGATGAAAACTAAGTGTTACAGGACAAATGACAAAGCTTAATAATTTTTTCTTAGCTGAAATAGATGACCCATGAACTACCTTTGAGGGAAAACCAGAATCTCAGTGTGGGGCATGTAACAACGCCTCTCCCGGAAAGGCACCTGCTGTAAGGGAGGGCTAAAGGATAGACCTAGGGTCACAGGCAGGACAAAGCACCTGCAGCTCCTCCTTCATTAAAACAGCCAAAAAGCAAGCACCTGCTTTAATAGTTCAAATATTCCCCGAGGGCAACCAATACATCAGCCACTGTGACTGTGAAGACATACACCTCAGCCTAGTGAAGGAGGCAGAACATGAACAGCTGCTTAAAAACATGAAATGTACCAGGCTATCACTCAGGTAAACAAAGGCTACTAGGAGAACATCTAACCTGGGGATCGGCAGGGAGGAGGGAAAGCTTCTAAGGAGTAAAGTCTGAGCAAAGTGAAGACACCTCAGGCTCCGCCTACACAATCAGATGAGAATACACCCAGGGGCAAATCCCTAGGAAAACATTACAAAGGAAGGAACAAGGGCAAACGTGTAATATGCCTTGCACCCCATGTTCAATATGAAGTTTGTATTATTCTCCTGTCTGCTGTGATGACCAAGGACCCTTCCTTAGCTTAACCACATGCTGCCTGCTTCTCCCTTGGCAGGTGTTCAACACACTGCACTGACTTCCTGGTGAGTTCACTGCCTTTAAGCTGCCTAAGGACTCCACTGCATAGGCCAAGCTATTTTACTTAAACATGAGGGGCGCCTGGCTGGCTCGGTCCGTAGAGCACGTGACTCTCGATCCTGGGGTTGTGAGTTTGAGCCCCATGTTGGGTGCAGAGATTGCTTAAAAATAAAATCTTAAAAAAAAAAAAAAAGTAAACACAAGACAGAATAAAAAGGGACAGCTCATTTTTTAATACGATAAACTTAAAAAAGTTAGAAAATACAGAGAAGTATAAAATGAGAAAGCCACAGTCTCACCATGAAGAAATAAACACCATTAACAGTATAATTCCTTTTTAATCTTTTGAATTCATTCAAATTTTGTATCACATCCTATGAAAAGATTTCCTATCTTATTTTTAGTTATATTAATTATATGCATTTTTCTCGGGTCACTAAGTACTCCTAAGACATGTATTTTTAGATGACTTTGTAAAACCACACTGTATGAAAATATAACAATTTATTTCTCCCTGGAGAGAGATACTGCTTCTTATTTTTCACTACGAGTAATGTGCCATCACAAAATAATACCCGTGACCAAGTCTCAGGACTTGCTTAGGATGAAGTCCAACAAGTGGGAACACGTCTCAGGTCACGCCCAGGTGCCCTTCACATGGTGGTGGAATGGGCTTCCCATGGACAATGTGAAGGGGCTTCCCCCTTCCTCCCAAGAGCCCTCTGGGCCAGCTTCCCTGACCGTGTGCACGCCTGCTTTCAGCAACTCCCTGTGCCTCATATCTGTCAGAGGGCTCGCCTGTCTTCTCAGCTCCACGTCAGGGTATTTACATGACAATCTCATGTCCTCGATTATTTCTGTGTTAAGAAATCTAAAAATTTTATACAGTCCACTTTTTATTTCTATTATTTTTAATGTTTGGAAAGTACTCATACTATTTAGAAATTTTTCATAAAATAAAGAGCAGATAATCACATTTTTTTACCTCTACCTTATGTTTTCAGTTTTTATAAAGATTCTGAAATCAACTTGAATATTATTTGGTAGGATTAGTTATCATTATTACTTACGACTCTCCTGTTTTCATTCTTTTAGATTAACTGCAACAATCTTCTCAAATCCTAAAGACGCGGCTTTAAAGTCGTATGTTCTAATCTGTTGACCACTTAGTGTTGGTTTTCTCGGTGGATTTTCTTAGGCTTTCCAGGTGGATGAGCACGAGCCCCCACCCTTTCTAGTGGCCCTGCATTCTGTGTCCTATCTGGTCAGATGGCCAAAACATGGCACAGAGCTGGAGACAGTGAGCCCTTCCTTCTTCTGTTCCTGAGTGTATGTTGGGACTCTCCGTGGGAATTTTCAACACACACATTTCCCTCCACCAAGACCAACTCCTGGTGTCTAGGGTGGAAGGCTTCCCTGTTAAGAACCCTATCAGCTGTTGGTTGCAGACAGGTGTTTTTATTAAAAGCTTTTCTTCCAAGTTTAAGGGTTTTTATCAGGACTGGGAACTGAATCTGAGCAAATGGCATTTTGGGGTTCTACTAAAGTGGCTCTATAGTTTATCATCCAAGGTGATAGATTTAACTGATTTCCAGATACACCATCTTTTAATTCCTGGGATAAATCCTAGTAGGACTGCAGTGAATTAAAAAAAAAAAAAAAGTACTGGGGCACCTGGGTGGCTCAGTCAGTTAAGCATCTGACTCTTGATTTCGGCTCAGGTTATGATCTCGGGGTCGTGGGATGGAGCCCAGTATCAGTCTCTGCACTGGGTGTGGAGCCTGAGATTTTTCTCTCTTCCTCTGCTCCCCCTCACCCCACCCCTTGTGCATGTACACACTCTCTTTAAAAAAAAAAAAGGTACCAGTGAATCTTAGGAATTTCACATCTATATTTTGTGAGGTTAGACTGTAGTCTTCTTGTTGTACTACCAAGAGCCTTGGTATGGGTGTGGGTGGTTTTATAAAATTAGGGATGGGGGAAATTCCAATCTTTTTCTAATTCTGATTGACTTTTTTTTTTTTTTTTAAGATTTTATTTATTTGACAGAGAGAGACACAGCGAGAGAGGGAACACAAGCAGGGGGAGTGGGAGAGGGAGAAGCAGGCTTCCCCACGGAGCAGGGAGCCCGATGTGGGGCTCGATCCCAGGACCCTGGGATCATGACCTGAGCCGAAGGCAGACGCTTAACGACTGAGCCACCCAGGCGCCCCTCTGACCTTCTATTGTTCAAGAATTAGCTTTTCTTCTTGAAACACTGAAAAGAATTCACTGGCAAAAACTGTATGGGCCAAAGCCCTTTTGGAAGGCAATCCTCTGCTCAGCTGTAAAACTGTCTTATAAACGCAAATCTTTTACAAGCACCACTGCGATTTCTGATTTTATTAGTGTTTTCTGGCCAGCTGTCCCATTCTCCCTCATCAGAGCTGCCAGGTTCATTTTTGTCTTTTCAGAGAACCAGGCTCTACTTTATTAAAAATGGAAACCACTACCTGTGGACTGATGTCTCACCTTGAATCTTTTTCATTCTCTGCATTTAGGCGATTGGCTTCCTGGGCTTTCTCGGCCATCCACCTGGTGACCAGCTCCTGGTTCTCTTCAGTAGTTTTCCTTAGTTTCTCCTCCAAGGCAGTAAACGTGATTTGCAGGGCATCATATTCGTCCTTCAGAGTCTGGTTGGCTCTTTCGAGGTCCTGAAGCTTACTGCGTAGTTCTTGGCACTCCGTCTCCAGGTCAGAGATAGTCTGCAAGCATTCTGCAATTCTGAAAGCGGGACGTGGAGAAGAGGTATGGGGCCACTCCGGAGCCCCGTGAGGAGCCAGAGTGCCTGGCCAGGTGCTGGAGCTCTGTGAGCATGGGCCCCCTACAATAACCTTAGCCATCATAGCAGGTGCATGGAGGATTCTTCACATTTACAAACATCTCATTTAGCCAAGCCTAGCCCCAGTGGTTTACAGGACAAACCCATCAGGAGAGGAATCACCTAGGGTGAAATTCATCCAGGGGATGACTAGAAAAGCAGGATCTGAAGAGGGAACTTTTGATGCCTGAATAGAGTACTAACAGGGGCTTAAAAGGAGGCTAGAAATTCTGCACATTCCGTCGGTTCTATCACTCAATGAGCAAAGATGCCTTTCTAAGCCTTTAGAGACCCCTGTCTGCAGAGCAAGGGAAAAAGGCATAGATGAAACCCAGGCTCCCCTCCAGCTCAAAGGTCCTAGGATTTGGAATCCCAGGTTTCTCCCTGATCGAGAATTATCCTGCCAACAAACTCATCCCTGTTTCCAAGGGCCACAGGCTCACATACCCTGGCCCCATCTCCACCACAGAAGATGCCAGCTCTCCTATGCAGTGGCCACAGGGAGAGCCACGAATGCTTCAGGGACACTTACAAGGGCCAAGGGTACCCCCCAGGGGCTTACTGGGAACCTGGAAGATTGAGGGCACTGTCCTTGCCTCTGCCATCCTTAGAGCAGGTAGAAAAAAATCCTAGGCTATGCATGCACAGAAATGACGCTCTTGCTGAGTCCCCTGGGGTGACCATTTGCCAGCAATCACCACCGGCCCCGCCCACAAGAGTACAGTAAACAGAGTGCAACCCCGTGGCCAGCCCCGGGAAGGTGTCGTCTCTACTCACTTTGCTTCATTCATCTGCATCTCCCTGTCCTTCTGCTGCATTTGGTTATTCAGGTCAATCACCAATTGAGCTAACTGCGGGGGAAGAACACTTGCATCAGTGAGAGATCTCAGGACCTCAGCAGGAAACTAAACAATAGTGGGCTCTTTTATTTTTAGGAAAGAAAAGGTGCCCTGCTGGGTTGGGCCAAGGCACCAAGAAGAAACAAGCTGGGTGGCAGTGAGGAGCAGGAGGGTCGATGGGGATGCTCATGGGAACAATGGGAAATATCACAGGTCATTGCCAGGTTCCCGCTGAGGACCCGTCTGTCCCCCCCCACCGCAGCCACCTATCACGCTCTTCGGCTGATAAAATGACCAATTCAGCTGCATTGATGAGAACTTGCATTTTCTCATAATTTGCCATCAAACAGCCACCCACGATTAACAAAGCCCAGGACTTTTTTCCATAATTAATTTTTCAGAAATTGCAGGGTTCGCTCTCAAACACTTTAGGAAGGTATTAGTGAGATCTGCCCTGGAACAGGCAGCAGGCTTCTTTCCTTCGGAAGTTTCTCCACTTGTACCTTTCATGCCACCTGGGAGTGTGGTGACCGGCAGTTACCCCAGTGGCTTGCCCTCTTGCTGATGGAGGGAAAGCCCTCAGCTGTCCCGATGCTGCATTCCCAGAGTACGATGCCACATGTAGCCAGGACAGCTGCAAATTCTAGTGCAACGCCCGCCCGCTCACTTGTCCTCCCCACTGCGGGGCCCGCACAGAGCAGAGACGAGGAGTGGCTATCGGTACCTCCCCACGCTTCTTGTGTAGTTCAGTCAGTTCTTCTTGGTGTTTAATCCTCAGCTGGGCCATCTCTTGTAGCTGACTATCATTCCAGGCACCATCGTGTCCGGGACTAAGTCCCCAAACCAGGCAGATGAAAGAACGTGCAAAAAAGAGAGGAAAGGAAAAAAAAAATCAGACCCCAAACCTCTTCAATCCGGCAGTGAAACAGTAACCTCAGAATTTCAAACCTGTACGTGACAACACAGCCAATAAAGCCGTTCACTTTCTCCGGGCCAATGTGGTTCTAAGCCACTACAAACCTGATGCAGGAAGTAGGAAAGATGAGACACACGGTCAAATAAACCAACCACAACCCAAACCACAGGTCGTGTCAGGAACAAGGCATGGATTCCAGATGAGGTTTCAGTAAACATGGAGGAGACAACAAGGTCCAGTCACTCGACAAATGTTTGAATGCCAACTACGTGCCAGGCAGTGACCTTGGACCCGGGGAGAAGGCAGTGAACACAAAGCTTTGCTTTCAGGCAACCGATAAATGGTTAAGAGAAGACAGACAACAAATAAGTAAACACGTGGGGTCCAGTGGTCAGACGTGCCGTGATGAGAAACTAAGCAGGGTAAAGAACGGGACGGAGCAACAGGGCTCCTGTTCTGTGCAGGGCACTCAGAGAAGCCTTCTCTGAGAGAACACCACTGCAGACCGGAAGAAAGTGAGGAGCAAGCCATGCGGCTCCTGGAGGCTGGGCCCTCACGCGCAGAGGGAACATCGAGGGTCAGAAAGGCCTGGAGAAGGCAGCACAGCTGGTGTCCTCAGAGAAAGTACAAGCAGAGCCCCGCGTCCAGGAGGGTGGAAAAGACAGGCAGGGAGGAGGCAGGGAGACCATGCAGAGCCTCCCAGGCTCCTCTAGGGACCGTGACTGGAAGGCGCCGCAGTGCTGTGAGCAGAGGAATAACAAGTTGTAAACGGACTGCCATGGTGCTGAGTGGAGAGCAGGCTGCCGGGGGGCAGGGGCAGAAACACGGAGGCCCGTTAGTGAGCTGTTCCGAAGGCCAGCTCAGATCAAGGTGGTAGCAGTAGAGGCAGGGAGGTGTGGTCAGATCCTAGATCCGTTCTGAAGAGACAGCCCACAGCATTTGCCTTCTGAGTTAGCTGTGGAGTCTAATAGAAAAGCAGGACACGATGAGGACCCCAATGTTCCGGGCCTGAGCAACTGAGAAAGATGCAGGTGCCACCTACTGAGATGGGAAGGACTAGGGCCTGGGAGGAGGCCTGAAGAGTGCAGTGTGGACACCCATGGGGGTGTGTGGAGTGGAAACTGGGTACCGGAGTCTGCACGTCAAGTACAGAGGTCCAAGCCAGAGGCGGACAAGTAGAAGTCAGCAAACAGACATATCTGAAGCCACAGAACTCAGCTCAGACGCCCTCAAGAGTCGATGTAGTTTTGCATCCCACGTCAGAAACAGCAGGTGACCGAACTGTGCGTTTTCAGTTCAGGAACTGGGATTTTGGTTGCAGCTACAGAGGAGAACCATCAGATGACAGACATTTAAGCCACCACCCAGGGAAAGCACAAGATGGAGATGCTGGAAAAGCAGGACACCAGCACCCGAAGGGAGGGGGAGAAGAGCCCTATCATAAACAAGAGGGGAGGGAGTAGTGTGACACCCCCTCCTGACGTCACCCTTGATGTCTAAAGATATTTTTAAGACATATTCTAAGCCCATCCTAATACCTCATCCTTTGAGGCAACCTAATACCTCCCCATCTTTGCCCACGAAGTAGAAGCCAAGAGATTAGAAAGTGGAACACACTGTACAAGAAGCCATTCTAAATTAGGCAGGAGGACTAGAAATTATTTTTATCAAATCCTCTTATGTTAATGCAAAGCCCTGTGAAATATGCAAATGTAAAACTAGTCCCTTCTCCAAAGAGCAGGGCACTCACTGCACGCCTGGTGCTGCGGATGGACTCCAGAGCAGCCATGGTCTAAGGCAGTGATTCTCAGGATCACCCAATTACAGATTATGGGCTTTACACCCCCCCCCCAACTTTCTGAAACAGTAGGTCTGGTGTGGGGCCCAAGATTCTGCATTTCTAACAATTCGCCAGATGCTGCCATCTAGGAAGCACACATAGAAAATGCCTGGAATTAACTACTTCTGTGCTATAATCTATGCAGAAAGCAAAGGGATTAAGACACTTCAAAAGAGACTCGGATAACTGATCCAGATAAAGCTTTTTAAGCATGGGTCGTAGTGTTTTAAGAATAACTAGGATAATACGGACAGAACTTAAGGAGAGACAGAAGGGAGAAGAAAACCACCAGGCCCATCTTCTGTAAATACCCTTATGGCACCATCAAACACCCCCTTGAGCTGGTCCCCCCCACTGGACTAAGGGACAGACCCACAAGAGCGTGTGAATGAAGAATGAACATGCCTGAGTGAGTGACTACCAACGAGGAGGGACAGGACACTGAGGGAAAAAGGAATCATAGATGACTTGTGGAAAATAAAAAAAACCATTAATAAAAACAAGGTGGTCAGGAGGAGAGGCCTGATTAGGAGCTCAAGTTCTCAGGAAAGGAAGGACCTGCAATTAAATTACCATTCCAGTGATATTCAGTCAAAAGAATTGTTGTATATTTATTTATAGCAACCTTCCAAGCAAATGAGCTTGACAGACCAAGAAAGGATAGAGAAATATAGTCACCAAGAGTCTAACTAGGTAGAAACAAACTATTTCAAGTTTTCAGTTGATTGAATTTAGATGAAAAAGGTAAAATGGCATTTTCTATACCTAATATTGACCAGAACACTGCAATTAATATTTTAAATACTACAGTAGGTCTCTCAGGGCCACAGGTCAAGAACGATCGCTTGAATTTATTACTAAGCAAGGACAGAACCTGGGCTGGACCATCTGTTCCTCTTTCCCCCTCTGGCCGGCCATGAGACCAGATGAGGAAACATGGATGGCAGGCAGCTATAGAGCAGATTCAGCTACAGGTATAAATAAATTAGGCTATACCTCGCATTTCTGGGCTTTAAAAAACTCTTAAATTACTACCAACTTATTCTTACAGTTGCTAAATGTTAGCTGATATGCAAAAAAGTACATAAATTCTAGAGCAATAATGGGTACTGTTCCCATATGGACTCTCAAATATGCAAACATGATAAACATCTGGAAAAAGACAGTTAAGACTATAGAATGATTCTATTCAAACTGTTTGTGATGAAGTCTGACTTTTGGATTTTTTTGGACCATGACCCTCAAAAAGAAATACAGCTTACAGGGTACCTGGGTGGCTCAGCCGGTTAGGTGTCTGCCTTCAGCTCAGGTCACGATCCCGGGGTCCTGGGATCGAGACCCGCGTTGGGCTCCCTGCTCAGCGGGGAGTTTGCTTCTCCCTCTCCCTCTGACCCTCCCCCTGCTCATGTGCACTCTCTAAGAAAAAAACTTTAAAAAAGAAAAAAAAAATAGTTTACATGAATGACCCATGTAAACACATCAAACTCCCCACCATGAACACACATGTTCGTATTTAATGAAATAGTTATCCTTTCTATTAAAATGCAGGTTTTTCCTAATCTTTCTTTAAAAAAAAAAAAGGAAAGCTTGCTGCTACCTGCTAGCTTAATTTCACACTCTATTAAAATATGATGAAAACCACTGAACTTAAAAAGGATCAAATAGACCTGTGTTATATAAAAAGCACTTTATGCACCAGTCAATCCTGTATTAACAAGATCTATAAATCTGCTCAAGAATGCTTACTGGTGTGATTATTTAGAAAAAGCGAACCCAGCAGGCTGAAGGAGGAATTGGCCCAGTTACCCGCCCTGAGTGACTTCTCAGGGTTACAGCATCTACTGATAAGCCTTCTGGGTGGGTACGTACCCTCAGAGAGGATTTTAGTTACTTGGCTTCACAAGTTCTTATCTGAAAGGAACTGACAAAAACTGGAGCACAGACACAGTACCTCTCAATTAGAGAAGTGACAGCTGAACTGAGACCCGTTTCAACTGAAGAGACACAAGCAACACAGAATAGTTTCAAAATACCTTATCTCATGCCTGTTGGGGATGTCATGCTTTTCAGCTTGTAGCTTATGGGCCAGCACTGAATGAAGATCTGACTTTTCTAGCAACTTGTTATCTATTAAAAAGGAAAAGAAGAAAGAAATTATTTATTATAACCAATATACACCTTATTACTACTTAATATCCTATAAATATCTGGACCAAAAAAACCAACAGGGGACAGTTGGGTAGGTTTCACTTTCATTAGGTGTCAAAGTACCAGGTGCTGCACTTTGACAGCAATTGTAGCATCTGTCCAAAACCCAGAAACATACACTCCTTTAAAGTTTCTTGGCCTAAGCATGAATGGGCCGGCCAAAGGAACCTGTGGAAACATCCCTACAAGAATGTCCCCCACTTACCTATGTTCATCTCAGGAGTCAAAAAACAAAACAAAACAAAAAAACCAAACACCCTGGAAAAATGAAATATTTTGCACCTCTAAGCAATGTGAAAGAGCTTATTATTACATTTGGAAAATGTAATTTTTAGATCAGGGCACTAGAGATACAAATATGAACAAGGAGCTCAAGTATAGCAGAGAGTCAAGTATAAAAAGAACTAGGAGAGTGATCTTTCCTCATATGCTTGGACGGTTTTACAGGTGAGGATGACAGAGTCCAGGCGGGAGGGCTAGCAGTTATCTTGCAAGTGGATAGGAATGAAAGTTGGAACCAACACATGAAAGAGCAGAATGAAAAATTCAGACCTTTTCTTAGTGGCAATGGTAAAATAAAAGATTTTAAAAGCAGGCAGTGACATAAACAGACATTTACTAGTAAGAAGTCAAAGATTATTCTGAAGTTCCTTGCTCAGGCGACTGGCTGGAAGATGCTAATTGTCAAAGAACACAAGAGCGGAGAACCTAAGGAAGAAAATGAATTTTCTTTCTGAAAGTAACAAATGTGACAGGAAACATGGTGCAGGAGTTCAAAGTACAAGTAGATAGGAATGACAGTCACACAGGGACCGGCACGGTGGGAGGGGGCACTAAGCAAAATAAGAGACCGATCGTGGGAAACTTGTTGAATAGCTACATTTGATGGGGACTGTCACACATCCTAAAAGTCTGAGATCAGAACTGCTCTAGAACAAAATTTTGATGGGGTTTATGCGAGTGAATATTACTGTTGGAAGGGCTCATCTTTCTTCTTAAAGAGTCTTGAGTCTCACTTCTGTTTTATATATGGAAATGGAACTCCTGGGCAGAAACAGAAATATTCTTGATTTAGATTAATTTAACCAAGCAGTTCAGCAGAACAGGGAAGTATGGTTCCAACCCTGGGTGTTCACTCACATCAAAGGGTTCTAATAAGATCTTCAAAATGTCACACCAGAGCTGGGCGCCCTGTGATATTAGGTCTTTCAAAGGACAGGAGTATTCAAGAGGGACCCTCCTTAAAAGTCCCTCTCACTAAAGAGAAGGATCCAGCTGAAGGGCAGCTGCCAGCTGTCCTTACAGTCTCTTTTCATCTTTCTCTTCAGGTTCAGAGGCAGGGGCTGAACTTGAACTTGACCGGCCTGGGAAGGCAAGAGGACAGGAGTGAAGGTGTTCCACAGGCAAAATGGAAGTGGCCCCCCAAATGTCAATCACTGACCTAAAGAGAAAAACTCTAATAGGCAAAGGTTGTCTTGCTTTCCAGCCCCCTAACCGCCTCTCATATCAGTCTGGGCTCCTAGCCCCTCTGGCATGCACCATTTACCACAGCTGTTTAATGACGTGTTCCCTCTCCAGGATGATCATCTTCTGACCTTTCTCCTACATCCTCCCCCCTCCCATCAAAATGACTATTTTCAATGCAGAAAAACCATTCAATCTCTGTCAATGCAATTACAGCAACTTCTGTTTATAGACTATTTCGTAAATGGCTTTCAAAGCACTTATACACAGTTTTTACGAAGCAGGCAGGGCAAGCTTCGCCCCTTTTATAGATGCAGCAAACCAGACTCAGAAAGGTAAGTGAAAAGATCAGTAAGGTGTGGAGTCAGACTTCTAGCCCAATGTGACTGTAAGTGTATTTTAGCTTTTAAGACAAAGCATCCAATAAACACCTGACCACCTGAATTTATGTAACCCATGTGGGAATCACGTTTGAGTGGGAGGGGATTTCTGTGCTGCTGGCTGTGAGGATCTCTTATAGTACAAGGAATAAGCACAACAGCGGTACATCATCTCGCTTTTCTTCCCATCTTTTTAAGAGGGTGGGTTCAGTGAAAGCAAGGAAGGGTCATTTCTTCGGAACCCCAGTGAGAAAAAAATGCAAAAGTTAGGAGCCATCAAGTCTGTGTGTGTTCAAATCCAGGCTCCAACATGAATCTGCTTTGCCTACCCAAAGAAGTTTCTTAATCTCTCTCTGCATCAGTTTCCTCATGTGTAAGAAAGGCAATGACCCGCTTCATAGAATTTTCGAGAAGATAAAGAGAAATAACACATGCCGTATATTTACCAAAGCACTCAAACCACTCTGCACATTAGAAATACTTGGAGAGGGGCGCCTGGGTGGCTCAGTCCGTTGAGCGGCTGCCTTCGGCTCAGGTCACGGTCCCAGGGTCCTGGGATCGAGTCCCGCATCGGGCTCCCTGTTCAGCGGGGAGCCTGCTTCTCCCTCTCCCTCTGCCTGCCTCTCTGCCTACTTGTGCTCTCTATCTGTCAAATAAATGAATAAAATCTTAAAAAAAAAAAAGAAATACTTGGAGAGCATCAAAAAACACTCATACCCGTGTCCCACCCTTATTTACTGCAATTTAATTGGTCCGGGCTTTTTAATTTTTTAAAAGATCCAGGTGGTACTAATGTGCACATCAGTTTGGGAACCACTGATTTAGCACAATCAGAATTCATTAACAGGCGACTATTACTTTGAATCTCATCATCAACATTAACTCCAGACTTTCGTCAGGCTCACTTCAAGGGGTAGATGGTACCATAGGACCGAAGAAAGCCCATTTCTCTCCCCAAATGTGTCGTTCGTTAGTTACGTAAAATTGGGGAGGGAGCAAGGAAATGCTCATGAGGCCTCATCTAAGGGTACGAACATTTTTGTATTCAAACTGCAGACAGGGGTGGGGAGAGGAGAAAACCTCTTTCATGTTGGAAGTTTCCAGTAACGATGTCCCAACCAACCAGTGGGACTCAAAATGTGTACCAGTTAAAGAACACCAAGATGGGAGTAAAAACGAGAGGTCTGAGCAATCAAAAGCTGAACATTTCATTACACTCAGAGAACAATGTTAATTACGCGAGTTAATGCTTAAAGTCTGTGACCGTTTCAATAACACGAGGCCCAGAACTGGACGTTTCTGGAGCTTATTCAAGCACACAAGCATTGATGCTGGGATAACAAGCACGAACGGTGCCTGCCCACGAAGAACACACAATTTAGTAGGAAAGCCCTCTAAAGTCAAAGAGAGTAAGATCCAAAAAAAAAAAAAAGGCAGGGTTTGTGGGGCCGCCGCAAGGCGCGCGGGCGACGCCAAGGGTTGGCCTCCGGCTCCTCCTGGCGCCCCGCGTGCTGCAGCGGCGCCCGCCCGCCCGCTCCCCGGGCCCGCCCGCCGCTCACACTGCAGGATGATCTCTTCGAATGCCTGCCTCTGCAGCCGGTCCCGCCGCCTCAGCTCCTCCGAAATGTGGCGCTTCCAGCGGGGGAAGTCGGCGGCGCGGAGGCCCGACGACATTTCGCGCGCTGCCCCGGCGCCTTACCGCCGCCAATCCGAGTGGGGGCTGGCGGCCCTGGGCCGCAGCATGGGAGACCAGCGGACGCCGGAAGGCCGGTGGCCCAGACCTCACTTCCACGCACAGGCCGCCCCCAATGCCGTCCGGGACGGTCTTCCGGCTCCTGCCGCAAAGGGTTTTGGTCAGGACCGGAAAACCCGCCTCCTCCCCCGACGTCTTACGCCGCACGCACGCGCGTGGCTGGTGGCGGCGCAAGGCGCTGGCTGATGACGCCCTCCCGAGGCCGGAAGCGCAGGGGGTAGAGAGGCGGCCGCTGGGAGGCGTGCGGGCTGCGCTGGAGCCCTGGCTGTCCGCGAGAAGGGGACGACAGGGAAGGAGCTGCCTGTCAATTTACGTTTCCTCGCCGCCTTCCCCCGATTTATATATTTTTTGGCCTGCCTTTCTTTTCTTTATCGCCTCACTAAGTGGGGGCCACTCCCCACACAGTAACTGAATGACCCTAGATGAGTGGCAATCTTCCAGCGCCTCAATTTCCTAATCTGTAAAACGGGGACCCTAATGATACCCTCTTCAGGGTTGCCATGAGGATTAGAAGGAATAACCTATGTAATGCAGTGAGCGCTATGCCTGGTGCATTGCAAGCCTCACTTCACCTAGACCCCCGGTGTCTTCCTATCCAAATGTCTGGCTGCTTTATACTTTGGCAAGAGTGTCCCATTGCCCTTGGGAATAGGTTTTTTTACAATGAAGAGATGGAATGCAAAGAACAGTTAAAGAAAAATGTGAATAGATTGGCTATGTTAATAATTAGAAGCCTAGAAATTATTACCTAACAGTAAATGTGTTCTTAGAAGGTAATCTAAGGGTGGGGACATGAACAGGACTTAGAAAGAGGAAAAGGATAGTTTGCCAGTAGATATTGAAGGTGGTCCACGGAAGATAGACTCTTGAGAAGATGGCATTTGTCAACTCAGTAGAATGGGAATGGTCTGTAATAGAACCATCTGAGCTCCATTTACCTTTAAGAAGTTAGTGAATTTACGCATGAAAATGGAACTGGGCGAAGCAGGAGGCCAGAGGAGATGAAAGGAATATCAGAGCCTGGCTTCTCTTCCAGTGTGGCTCAAGTCCAGTGGAAGCTTCTTCAGAGACAGATAAAAAAGCCTTTCCTCTCCTGTGGAGCCAGTGAGTAGGTCAGTTAGGCTTCTAGAGCTGTAGTTAGAGACACTTCATTGGCAGTCAGTACTGAGTGATCTGAATTTGAGGGGAAGACTAGGAAGAATCAGAAATCGGAGGGACTTTCTCACACACTGAAGAAAATGAGAGAGCAGTTTTCCGACTGTCACCAAAAACGCCCCCAAATATAACAGTGGTATCAATCTCAAAAGACCATAGTGTCACATAGCATCAAATCTTGACAGTTGAATGTGCTGATTTTCTAGACAAGATTATGACTAAAACATACTAACAAATTTGCAGAATCGGCGATTCCACTTGCAGAAATTTGTGTTAAATATTTGGACAAATGTCCATATACAAAAACGTCTGTCACAGCCTTGTTCATAATAGTGGAAAATTGGAAACTGTATTTTCAACAACAAGAGATAGATTAAATTACAGTACACTTATTGTTCAAAAAAATGTTCCTAATAAAAACAGTGTATGGTGTAAATCTAATTTATGTAAAAGAAGTGCATCCTTGGATCCTCATAGGCAAAATTTGTCAAATGAATAGAGAATATAATTTCTAAACTAAGGGTACTAAGCTCTGCTAAGTGTGCCCTCTCCCTAAGCCACCAGCTTTATCTAGTACACTGCAGCCACCTCGGACCCCTTTACTCCCTTCCACCCACCAGACGCCCTCCCACAGGAGGACGTTTGGATTTATTGTGCTTCTGTTGTGCACACTCTTCCCTTCTGACTTCGAGTGAATTCCTATGCATTAATTCTCAACTCAGTAACCACTGCCTCACAATCTTCAATAAAAGACCTTCACAACTAGGTCAGGTCTCCCTCCTACACACGTACCTCTCCTTTATAGCAATAATCACAGTTGCGGCTTCGCATACTTATATCATTACTTGATGAAGGTGTGTCTCCCCACACCAGATGGTAAACTCTGTGAGGCAGGAGCTGTGTCTCTTTTTGCTCAACATCATAGCCAGTGAGAGCATGAAGCTTGTTATATATTAGGTGCTCAGGAAATGCTATTTACTTTTTTTTTAAGATTTTATTTATTTATTTGAGAGAATGAATGAGAGGGAGAGGGAGAGAGAATCTGAAGCAGACTCTGCACTGAGCACAGAGCCCGACTCGGGGCTTGATCCCAGGACCCTGAGATCATGACCTGAGCCGAAACCGAGTTGGACACTCAACCGACTGAGCCACCCAAGTGCCCCAGTAAATGCTGTTTAATCAATGAATGGAATATATGAAAACACTGATAGTATTAACTCTGGGCAGTGGCATTGCTGATGTGTTTTTGTTTTTGTTTTAATTTGAGGATAGTTGACTCATGTTTATATTTTATTATGTTTTTTCCGTATCTTATATGTTTTCTAATTACTATCCATTACACTTGTACTACATATGCAAGAAAAAGTTATAAAAATGAACAGGTACTGGGGTGCCTGGGTGGCTCAGTTATTAAGGGTCTGCCTTTGGCTCGGGTCATGATCCCAGGGTCCTGGGATAGAGCCTCACATCAGGCTCCCGGCTCTGCGGGAAGCCTGCTTCTCCTCCCTCTCCCACTTCCCCTGCTTGTGTTCCCTCTCTCACTGTGTCTCTCTCTGCCAAATAAGTAAAATATTTTAAAAAAAGAACATGTACTTATAAAACCATTTATTCATCTGGGTGCTGAGCTCTGTGGAAGATAACTAATAAGTACAAAAGCTTCCACAGTGTTCTAGCCCATGAACTCTTCTGACTACCTCACACGTTGTAATTCTTTTAATCCTCCTGACAACCCTACTTGGTAAGGTTATTGTTAGCTACTGTTACCATCTTCATCCTTATTTATAGATAAGGAACCTGAAGCATGGAGAGGCTAAATAACTTGCTTGAGGACACCTAGCTAGTCGGTGGCAAGACCTGGGTTCACACACAGGCTCCTGACTCTAGCAGCCCTTAACCACTGTACTCCATCATCAGGTCTCTTCCAGCTGATATACGTAAAACAGAATAATTTGAAATGATATAGTTAATTCCTAAATTAGACAAAAGGGAAGGCATCCTGGTGAAGAGCAATGTCTGATGTGGAGGCCTCAGGTGTACTCCTGAGGACCTTGACGGGAATGGCTGGATGGGGATGAGTAATAGGAAGGAGGAGGAAATAAGGTTGTCTGAATATTCTGGAGACAGATAATGAGGCTTAAGAGAAAAGTTTTTGGTTTTGCTCTGGTTAGTAATGAGTGTTTAAAGGATTCAGCATGCTTTGCTGGAAAGCAACGTCTATAAAATGGATTCTGACTGGCTCTAATGGATGTAAGGTGTAAATAAAATATCCCAAGATTCTTGTAATAGTGTGTTAAGCAGTGCAAGTTTGCTCACAGAGGAATGGAAGAAGCATCACTCAACAAAGAACTTTCTTTGTGCGAAGTTTAGTATCACTGAAACAAAGTATAACCAGATTTAACATAACAGCATTTCCACTGTTAAAACTTCCCAGACTTTCACCTTAACCATTAATGCCTACATACCTCATCTGTGAGATCCTATAGTGCTGCTCCAATTCGGTGGACTCCAAGTCCAACTTTCAGACAACTGTCCTGTTTACTCTGGTCCTTCCCCTTTAGGTCTTTCTGATTCCCTTTATCTTTCAATCAGCAAGTGTAAACAGTTGGGTCCTAGTGTGTGTCTGGCGCAGGGGTGAGCCCTATGTGGAAGACAGATGGCCCAGGCTTGGATCCTGATCACAGAGCTCACTTTTCAGGAAGGGAGATCTGAATGTGCATTATTTAAGGAATATAAAGTAAAAATGAGATTTCGTATTTTAACAACGACAATGTTTGAGGTAGGTATTAGCCTTGTACCCCAACACAAGGTTTATAGCAAAGCTCTATTTTCCTAGAGGAAGTCCTTGTTATCCCTCCTCTGTATTGGCAGCCAAGTACTGGAACGGTGGCTGGAGGGTTCGGCATGGCACATCTAACAAGCTGGGAGTATGAGCCCTGGCTGGAGAGTGTGTTTGTGGGGAGTTATCTCCCTTGGTTTGCTCTTTGATCTTTTTTTTTTTTTAAGATTTTATTTATTTATTTGACAGAGAGACAGCGAGAGAGGGAACACAAGCAGGGGGAGTGGGAGAGGGAGAAGCAGGCTTCCCGCGGAGCAGGGAGCCCAACGTGGGGCTCGATCCCAATCATGACCTGAGCTGAATGGGCAGACGCTTAACACTGAGCCACCCAGACATTTAAATTTCTCCCAGACACTCCCGCCATCTCCTGCTGTGAATAACAGCCAAACTTTATTGAGTGATTTCTACATACCAGGGACTGGGCTCTACCTGGTTTAACTTCCTTCTTTCTCACCCTACACGATGCAGGTGCTGTTAATCTTTCCTTTTACAGGTTTGAAACTGACATACAGAGGTCAAGCAGCTTGTGCATGTCATGGAGTTAGGAAGATGCAGAGCTTGGATTTATTCGAGGAAAACTGACACCTTAACACCAGAACGAACAGGACCGCCCCCCCGCCCCCATGCTGCGTGTCAGCACATTAGGGTTGTGGCTGTTTTTTTAGGCTGAATAGAGTATCAGAAGACTTTTTTTTTTTTTAAGATTTATTTATGTATTTTAGAGGAGGGGAGGGGCAGAGGAAGAGGGCAAGAGAATCCTCAAGCGGGTTCCCCGCTGAGCGTGGAGTCCAATGCGGGGCTTGATTCCAGGACTCTGAGATCACGACCTGGGCCAAAACCAAGAGTCAGACGCTTAACTGACTGAGCCACCCAGGTACCCCAGAATGCTTTTAATGACAAGCAATAGAAATGGAATTTGGGGGCGTCTGGGTGGCTCAGTCGGTTGGGTGTCTGCCTTCGGCTCAGGTCATGATCCCAGGGTCCTGGGATCGAGCCCCACATCGGGCTCCCTGCTCCACAGAAAGCCTGCTTCTCCATCTCCCACTTCCCCTGCTTGTGTTCCCTCTCTCGCTGTC